GAATGGACTGTGGGATTGGGGGACATTTGAGGGAACACCTTGTAAGAAGGAGCAATTAATTGAAATTCAGAACAGGCTGAATGAAACCGGATTATACATTCCAGTGCCTGTATTCAGTGGGTAGTGCATTAGAGAAAGTACTCACGGGAAACCTAGCCAGACCTGCAAAAATCTGCGAGCCACACCCAGAATTAACTTTGCATCTCATTTTCTTAACCTTTAAAATGAAGGAGTTAAATTATATACTTGGACTCATTTAGTCCTGAATTCTACAATTATTGGAAGTATTTCTTATCAAATTCCTTTGTCCTCGGGACTTTGAAAATTTCTTTCCAAGACCCTGGACTTTAAGAAATCTGAAATCTCACCCTGCAGGGATAGAAGAATAGATTAATAGCGCCCTGTATCTGTTATTCCAGATGTGGTCCAAAAGGTGTTTTGTCTTTCTGGCAACCACAACCCAACATGAAGTGACGGTTTTACAGAGGATCCCATCCCTATCGCTAGCAAGGTCTAGCGAGCTTGAGAAAATCCACTGTACAGAGTTGAATTTTTAAATTTAATGTCTGCTTGCTAATCAGTCATTCCCAAAGGAAAGAAAAAGAGGTTAATCTAATACAGGCCTTGAAACAAAGCAGAAGATTAAAGTTAGCTTCTGAGTCAGGAAGTATTCAGAGTCGAGCACAAAGAGAAGGAAAATGGATAATAGATATTAAGCATGACATGTCAGAAAGAAACTTGAATGATTTCTAAATAGAACTATTCTCTCCCTTAATTTCTTAAAGATGCACTTGCCGCCCACCCCCCCACCCCCAAGGATGGATAGGAAACTAATGGCTTTCCTTCCCTACCTTATTTAAATCTGAAAGCTGAATGTCATTTCACTGCCAAATTATTCTAACATTATTAACCTGGCTTTTAAAAGGCAAAATGGGATGTTCCTATGAATGGCTTGAGACAGTAAAAATGCAAACGCAAATTTACAAAGCTGTTAGTTCAGGGAGGGGGGCTGAGCCCAGAAGAGTGGGTCCTGAGGTTCACACACTGGTTTTCCCATTCTGTGGGAGCCAACAAAAGGGGTTCAGCCCAGGTATCTCAAATTCTTTGCGCGGAACCTATTCTCTTAAAGCCCATTATGTTAGATTACAAAGCTTTGTCTTTTTTTTTTTTGCCATACGCCGGCCTCACTGCTGTGGCCCCTCCCATTGCGGAGCACAGGCTTTGGACGCGCAGGCTCAGCGGCCATGGCTCACGGGCCCAGCCGCTCTGCAGCATGTGGGATCTTCCCGGACCGGGGCACGAACCCATGTCCCCTGCATCGGCAGGCGGACTCTCAACCACTGCACCACCAGGGAAGCCCACAAAGCTTTGTCTTAAATCATTTAAACAAGAAGTTGGGCAATGACTTCTGTGAAGAAACCCAATTCCTGGAACCAAACAGATGAAAAAAATTTTTTAAACTGATAGGTGGCTACGTGTCTTGTAAGTGGTAGTTTGGAAATAAATTTATTGGAAATGATGGGAAAGGAATGAAAGTTACTGAAGTGGATGGTCTCAGTTACAGAGGCTGACCCCGGTTTTAGGGGTTACCCTGAAGTTTTCTGTTGTGGGAAAATACCCAGGAAGTGACTGGGCCAAGCCCATCATTATTGGAGGCACGTAGAAGAAAGTCAGGATTAGCTGTGGATCTCTTCTGGGAACACTCTGGAAAGGAGTAGTCAGGGTGCTGGGATCAGGCCAGCCCCGCATGGCCTCAGTTTGCAGGAATAGAGGGAAAAAAGGATGGTATGTAGGAAAAGCAGAGTGGTCCTGAGCACTCAAGTGGAAGGGGACAAAGGAAGGAGTAGCATAGTAAGTGTGGTGGCATCAGTTGTGACAGTCCTGTTCTGTGCAGGATTGAGCCCAGGGGTCCCTGTCAACCTCCCCAACAAGTGGAGTGTACACACCTCTGAATAAAACAGTTTCCCCTTCAGCCTGCTCTGAAATCCCCACCTATTTCCCTAAGAGTAAAAATGTATACCCCGGTGCAAAAGCAAATAAGCATTTTTGGGAATGTTGGAATAAATTAAACCTTGATTACTCATGAGTGTCTTGGAAAATTTGCATTTACCAGAAGTTATCCCTTTTGCAGGAATTCTGACGAAATAGGTACAGTTATTTCTGTATTAACAGTGGAGAGAAGGAGACAGGAAAATGCTTGCAAAGGTTTTCATTCATGAATGTGTTTTTTTTTTTTTTTTTTTTTTTCCGGTACGCGGGCCTCTCACTGCTGTGGCCTCTCCCGTTGCGGAGCACAGGCTCCGGACGCGCAGGCCCAGCGGCCATGGCTCACGGGCCCAGCCGCTCCGCGGCATGTGGGATCCTCCCGGACCAGGGCACGAACCCGTGTCCCCTGCATCGGCAGGCGGACTCGCAACCACTGCGCCACCAGGGAAGCCCCCATGAATGTGTTTAACAAGTATTTACTGCAGCAACGTGGATGGACCTAGAGATTATACTGAGTGAAGTAAGTCAGACAGAGAAAGACAAATATCATATGATATCACTTATATGTGGAACCTAAAAAAATGATACAAAGGAACTTATTTACAAAACAGAAACAGACTCACAGCAAACAAATTTATGGTTACCAAAGGGGTAAGGTGGTGGGGAGGGATAAATTAGGAGTTGGTGATTAACAGATACACACTACTATATATGAAATAGATAGCCAACAAGAACTTACTGTATAGCACAGGGAACTCTACTCAGTGTTCTGTAATAACCTATATGGGAAAACATCTGAAAAGGAATAGATAGATAGATAGATAGATGTATAGCTGAATCACTTTGCTGTACACCTGAAACTAACACAACATTGTAAACCAACTGTACTCCAATATAAAATAAAAATTTTAAAAAGAACCCAGGGCTTCCCTCGTGGCGCAGTGGTTGAGAGTCCGCCTGCCGGTGCAGGGGACACGGGTTCGTGCCACGGTCCGGGGGAATCCCACATGCTGCGGAGCGGCTGGGCCTGTTGGCCATGGCCGCTGAGCCTGCACGTCCAGACACTGTGCTCCGCAACAGGAGAGGCCACAACAGTGAGAGGCCCACGTACCGCAAAAAAAAAAAAAAAACTTTGCAATGGGCCAAAAAGAACCCTGAATATTCTTTCAATGAACTATTATACATTATCTAGTGGACCTTTCAGAGTTAACTGATGCCATAGGATAGGTGCCTTTCATTGTCTTTGAGCCATTTTACAACTTCATAAATTACAGAAAACTGATAGTAATGCAAACGAATCTTGTCAATAAAGATGCAAATGAATTGTGCCCAGCAGAAATTCAATTGATTTCTCCCAAGTGGAAGAGACTGGTTTTGCATTTATTAGGAAATCCTCTTCAGTATTACCGATTGCCTGTTTAAACATCTGTTCTATGGATTCTCCTTTGAACTGGTTGTAATATCTTACTGGTTTCCTCATTAATTGATGGCTTAAATAAAATCTTTGACATGTGTTCACTTTATAGTTGTAGGAGAGTCATAATTTTACCATTTTGAATTTTTTTCTTTTAACATTGGAAAGGTATAAAAGTTATTGATAACTAATGCCGTATTTAAAAGGATGAAAAAAATTTAGAGCAAGACTTATCTAATACATGTAAGTAGATAAATTTACTGATGATAATTCCTCCCAAAGAATTGTAAAACCCGTCTGAATCTATTTCCTTGCAGTCATTTCCTTCAGAAAAATCTATCAGTTCAATTTTTTTCCTAAAGAAATCTCACCTGAGCCATCCTTCCTCCTCTCCCACTGAGGATGATTTGCTCCACTGCAGTCCTGGGACTTTCCCTTCCCTCTCTGAATTTCTGGTCCCATGTTTTCCTCTTTCTTTTTTTAACCCCTTGTTTTTGAGAGGCACATGCTACAGTATCATTTGAGAAAGAGTTTACGAGGAATACATTTTTGAGACATTGCTAGTCTTAAAATATAGTCGTAGTCTACTCTTACTCCTGTTTTGTTTTTTTAATTTAGTTATTTATTTTTGGCTACTTTGGGTCTTCGTTGCTGTGCGCAGGCTTTCTCTAGTTGCGGCGAGCGGGGGCTACTCTTCGTTGCAGTGCTTGGGCTTCTCGTTGCAGTGGTTTCTCTTGTTGCAGAGCATGGGCTCTAGGTGCTCGGGCTTCAGTAGTTGCAGCACGTGGGCTCAGTAGTTGTGGCTTGTGGGCTCTAGAGCACAGGCTTAGTCATTGTGGCGCACGGACTTAGTTGCTCCGTGGCATGTGGGATCTTCCCGGACCAGGGCTCGAAACTGTGTCCACTGCACTGGCAGGCGGATTCTTAACCACTGTGCCACCAGGGAAGTCCCTTACTCCTGTTTTGCTTGGCTGGGTATAGAATTCAGCTCCCCCTCTACACACACAAAAATAATAGTAATAATCGTTTCTTTCGAATTGTGAATATGTTTTTTCATTGTTTATTTTGCTTCCCGTATGTATATTGAGAAGACAAATACCATTCTTATTCTTCCAGCAATGATCTAATTTTCCTCTTAGAAACATTTATGTTTTTTTCTCTTTATTCCCAATTTATGGGTATTTCATGATGAGACACATTTATATGAATCACTTTTTTCTTTCATTGTACTGTGTCCTTGGTGTATTCTTTCTATCAGAAAACTCAAATTCTTCTCTTGTGAAATGTTTACTTGTATTATTTTAATACTCTTCTTCCTCCTCTCAGTTTTTTGGTTTTTTTTAAAATTTCTATTTCTGGAATTCTTATTATTTACTAAGTTGATTCTCCAAGTTTCTTAATTTTTCTCTTTACTTTTCAGGGTTTTTTTGTGTGGGTTTTTGTTTTGTTTTTTTAGTCTTTACTCTATATCTAAGAAAATTTCTCTAACTTTATTTTCCAACCTTCTTTATTTTCCTTCTCTCATATTTCAAACTTCCAAGAATTCTTCTTGTCTTGAACTGCTCCTTTCACTAAGATGTTAGTCTTATTCTATGGATGCAATAACTTCTCTTGATCCTCTGAAGATTTTAATTATAGATTTAAAATTTTTTCTTCTATTCCCTGAATTATTGCTCTTTCCTAAAACAATTTCCTCAACTCAGGGAATCAGCTGAGTTCCACCTGGTTTCCTCTCCCTGAACCACAGGCTGGAAACTGTCTAAGGGCAGTAAACTGGAGAAATCAGAAGACTCACATGGTTTGCTTTCCCTGTTTCAGGAATCAGTGTGCTTCACTGCCTGATGACCATTGTTTCAAAAACTGTTGTTTTATATATTTCATCAGGTTTTGGGTTGTTTCCATTAGGAGGGTAAATTTAGTCCCTCTTACTCTATTTTAAGAAGAAACAAAAGTTCTGTGTATGTGTACTTATTACTTGTGTGAAAACAGTTACATTTTTGAGATCTCATTGTTCTCATAGTTTATCCAATTTATTTTCTTAGTCTTCTTGATATAGTATTTCTGTCACTTACTCCTACATTTATCTAACTGTAGTAGACTGTGTATAGCAAACAATGTCTCAAAATAGTCCTGAGAGTGGGAAGCCTTGTTTTAAAGTTTCTAGTGTCTTTTAAAGTCACATAATGTCTGACCTAGGGCTTGAAATACATTTTTTATTGTTGTTTGGTGAAGAAAGTGTTCTTCTATTATCGTTTTCCTATGTGTTTGCATGTTTGTCTGTGTTTCTAAATCAGAACTAATTATTGAACTTCATTAAATGTCTTCTGGCCATTGATTGAGGTGAACATTTTTTTCTTTGATCTGTATTAGTAGAATGCATTATCATAATATATGTCAAGTACTTAGCTTGCGAAATGAATTTTATTTGCTGTATTTTAATGTTTTGTTGAGTTATGTATTTTTAATATTTAATTTAAGATTTGTCAGCCCTATTCTTAAGTGAGATTGGATGTTAGATTTCTTCTTTAGTGCTATCTTTGTAGGTTTTGGTACAATGTTACTTTGGCTTTCTAAAAATAATTTGAAAGCTTTGTATATTTCTCAATGCTCTGGAACAGGTTAAATAGCACTGGAATTACCTGTTACTTAAAGATTTGAAACAATTCACCCATGAAGGAATCTACGCTATATTTTCAGCAGTGGCCAGCAGGTGTAGGAGTCAGGGAGGTGGGTAGTAGATCTTTAATAATTTTTTCCATTTCTATTGTGGTGGTCATTCTGTTTCATGTCTTTTTATCTTCTGAGGTTAATTTTGTTCTGTAGAAAATTATCCTCTCATCCAAGTCTCCAAATATATTTGCATATTGTCTTGCAAGGTGCTGTTTAATAGTGCTTTAAACATCCTCAGAATGTGTGGTTATTTCTAATTTCTCATTCATAATTATATCGATGATTGGTGTTGGTTTTTACTTTTGTCTTCTTCATTAAGCTGGGTCAGGGTTAGCATATGGTTAAGATATAAGGGGCTCCCAGGTAAAAATGCCTGGATTCAAATCATATCTCAATTACCATTTGTCCTTGGTGTCTGCATCTATAAGCGGGTGTATCCATTAGGACAAACTAGGTTATACCAAGGAAATAAACAACGTCAACATCTCCCTGACTTGCCCTCCACCATGCTGCATGTTCACTGCAGGTCAGCCTCATCCCTTCTTTATGTCCCATTCTCTCTAGGACCTCAGCTAACAGAGCAGTCTCTTTTTGGAAACTTGCCTCTTATCAGAGACGGAAAATAAAAGAACTCAGAGGTTCAGATGCTGGTTCTTAAATTTTCTGTTCAGAAATGATATCCATCACTTCTGCTGGGATTTTACCAGCTGCAGCAAGACATGGCCAAGCCTGCATCAATGAAGCAGATAAATTTAATCCTTTCTATGGAGGGACAGCAAATATCTTGAGGGATTCTACAGTCTACTGGAATAGATGACATTAATAAGTTTGTCAGGATCAATCCACACAGCTTCCTATGCATGTGCTCAAGCATAGTAAAGACTTACTGAATTATTCCATTCAACAAATATCACAGAACACCTGTTACGTGCTATGCATTATTCCAGGGATAGAATGTAAGTACAGGGGTTCTTAGTTACAGATTTATTCTAGCCAGTTTAATCTGAAGAATTGAACAGTTCCTGTGTATTAGCTATCTCCCGGAATCTGTGGGAGGCCCAGAGAATCTGTATGGAGGCTACCGATGCAGAAACAGTTCCCAGTTCAACCACAGGCCTACTCCAGGCAGAGCTCACTGCCCCACAACGGGCATGAACATGACAGACTGTGCCCACATTGCTGGATGTCAGATGCCAGAACTTTCACCACTCCTGTCTTCTAAAAGCTTGATGCCTTCACCACCATCCTGGCTAAAAGATGCATTCCTCATGGAACCTGCTTCTTCATATTATCGCTCCTCAATCAGCCTCACACAGGTTAGTGTCACTGGTAGAGCGTGGGCCACGTGCCTGAACTGAAGTTGCAAGGAAAGATACATGAGTTCTGCATTCTGTCTTCAAGATATAGGACTCATAATGAAGAGAACTGGCCACATTTTTACAGGTGGGTCAGGGTTAGCATATAGTTAAGATATAATGGGCTCCCAGGTAAAAATGCCTGGATTCAAATCATATCTCAATTACCATTTGTAATTACCAGATGACCACATGCATGATAAACATCTACCACCTAGTATGAGGATAAAGGTATATGGACAAAGGCTCTCACCCTTTATAGTTCAACAGAGATACTGATATTAATTAGAATTTAATCAAATATAAACATGTAAGGAATTGTACACAGTTCTATGAGAGCTTAGCATGTTCAGGCCCAGATAGATGGTCAAAGTTTCCCTGAGGAAATGGTAACTGAGTTGAGAGCTGAAGAAAACGCGGGATAGGGGTTTATCAGACTGAAGGTGCAGAAAAAGCATAAGAGGCAGAGGGAAGGATTTGGGCAAAGGCTCCTCTTAGGAAGGATCTGAGAACCTCATGAGGGACTGAGAAGTCCTCAAGTCAGGCAGGTGGAAATACACTGGAGAGGTGGGCAGGGCTGCCCCTCGGAGTCTCCCTCAGGGCTCTGAGACTCTCTCCTTGCCTGGGGAGGGGGCGGCATCCCCACCCCTTGTGAGTCAGGCAGTGAACAAGGAAACAGGGACGTGTATAATTGTAAACTTTCCCCAGGGGCTCTCATGCACTCTCAGGATTTGGAAGGTCAGTCTGGCCTAGCGCTCCCCCTTCAAGTGACTTTTCCAAAGGTATCAGTAAGGGCAGTGAAAGAAAAGGAGTGATTGTTCTTTAAATACCTACCATTTGCCAAGCACTGTGCTTATGGGCTTTACAGAGATGACCTCATCAGTGGGTGTATTTACAGCAAGGAGGGAATTAATTCCCAGCAAGGTTAAGTAACTTGCTCAAGGCCATGCATGTAATGAGGAATAGCAACAGGCTTTGTGCTCATAGCTCTCTGGTTCCAAACTCCAAAGCCTTTCCATAATACTGTGTAACCAACAGCAGGTTGGGGGAATGAGGCTCCAGGCCAGTGGTTCCCCAAGTGTGGTCCTCAAACCAGCCACATCAGCGGGTTTAACAGAAACTTGTTGTGACAACCTAAATGGGAAAAGAATTTGAAAAAGGATATAGGTATATGTGTAACTGAATCCCTTTGCTGTACACCTGAAACTAACACAACATTGTGAAACAACTATACTCCAATATAAAATAAAAATTTAAAAAAACCCAGGAACTTGTTAGAAATGCAGATTCTATTACATGTAGGGTGGATAAACAACAAGGTCCTGCTGTATAGTACAAGGAACTGTCTTCAATATCCTGTGATAAACCATAATGGTAAAGAATATGAAAAAGAATGTATCTGGGCTTCCCTGGTGGCGCAGTGGTTGAGAGTCCGCCTGCCGATGCAGGGGACGCGGGTTCGTACCCCGGTCCGGGAGGATCCCGCATGCCGCGGAGCGGCTGGGCCTGCGCGTCCGGAGCCTGTGCTCCGCAACGGGAGAGGCCACAGCAGTGAGAGGCCCGCGTACCGAAAAAAAAAAAAAAAAGAATGTATCTATGTATAACTGAATCACTTTGCTGTACAGCAGAAATTAACACAACATGGTGAATCAACTATACTTCAGTAAAATTTGAAAAAAAGAAAGAAATTCAGATTCTCAGACCTCACCCCAGACCTACTGAATCAGACCCTCTGCAGGTGGCCCCAGAGAATGACCTGAGTCTTAGCCAACCGTGCCGGTGAGTCTGAAACACACCGAATTTTGAGAACCAGTGCACAAGGCTAGTCGTTCTCAAGGGTATTTGATGAAGGGCCCCTAAACTTGCATCTACGACTTTCCTTGCCTCTATTCGCCTTCAAACCAGAACAGCCGTCTTAGCAGGGCTTTCTAGGAAGGATCTCGCACTGCTGCCATGATTCTGCTGTCAGCAGCAGCCCAGCGAGTTCACACCAGTCCATATAGAACCGGTGTGTTCACAGATGCTATTGCCCTCCTCTAAAAATAGTCCAACAGAGCCTGCTCCAAGGGCCTGTGAGTAACACCATGTGCTTTCTCCCCTCCCCTGGAGAATAGAGAGCATAGGAGGAAGAGAAAGAGAGACTTCCTGTCCCTTTGTACTTGTAAGAATATAGAAGAATGGGGGGAGTAGCCTTAGTGCTCCAGAAAGAACTCTCACTATCTTTCATAAAGGAAATCCAGCAAGAGGGGCCCTAACTGGGCAGAGTTACCCCAGGGAAGCAGGAATCCATCACTTGCTCGTGCATTTTTTAACGATCTTAGCAGCTGAAATCTTGTTTAAAAGACCATGGTAGGGCTTCCCTGGCGGCGCAGTGGTTGAGAGTCTGCCTGCCGATGCAGGGGACACGGGTTTGTGGCCCGGTCCGGGAAGATCCCACATGCCACGGAGCGGCTAGGCCCGTGAGCCATGGCCGCTGGGCCTGTGCGTCCGGAGCCTGTGCTCTGCGACGGGAGAGGCCACAACAGTGAGAGGCCCGCGTACCGCAAAACAAAAAAAAGCATGTTGGCAGTGGAGTGGGCAGGGAAATCAAGGAAGTGAGATGCCGTCTGCAGGGCACCTGGAGGGGGCAGGAGAGAGGATTGCCCGTCAGCCCATCTGGGTCTGTCTGACAGAGGGATTTGGGGGTTTGCAGTTTACCCGTGAGATGCTGCCTTTTTCACACCGCTGGAAGAGCTCCCTCCCCTCTGTCCCCCTCCCCAACTTCAGCCATCACCCTCACCTGCCAGGGCCCCAAACAAGTTCAAGGTTTCCCCAGAGCATCCATCTCAGGAAGAGTGACCCAGTTTCCTGTCCCCTGAGAGGGCCTGGCATCTGGGAATTGCTGTGTCAGGTCACACTGCCTCTTTGTCATTTGCTCAAGACTTGTGTCAAATGTCAGCTTGGTGCCAAGACAGAGCCCAGATCCGAGGGTACGGTGGCGACACCAGCCATACAATCTTTACTTTGGGTTCAAGTCCTCAAGCAGAATTATGCTGACCCACGAATTTTCAATCAGGGCCCTGGGCAGTTCAGAGGGTTGGTAGAGGGAAAGAAGGATGTTAAAGAGGAACCGAAAACCATCGATTGCTTCAGTCAACAATGACGAAAAAAAAAAGGAAAACTCACGCAGTTATGCCCACAGGAATCGTGCTTGTCCCTCTGCCCACGACAGAGCCCGGCCAGCTTGTGAAATCTCAGTAGCCTCTTTATATGGTAACAAAAGAAACAGTGAGAAGAAAAATCTTTTGTTTTCACTCAGCAGACTCCTCCGGTGGGTGTCAGGTGTGTCTCTTTCTTTTCCTGGAGAATAGGTTTTCTGTTTGTTTATTTGTTTGGTTTGCTTGTTTTTACCAGGTTCTCATTACAGGGGAAGGGCCTGGATTCTCAATGAGTATTTTGCCTTAGCAAGGCTTGTACAGCGATGCACCATTTATGAACTCTACTTCGATGTTCACGTGAAGAATGGAAGTGGGGACTAAGCTGATGCTAAAGAGTGAGCCGAATTATTTAGTGGACTTCATCAGAGGGCTGCTTCTGCTTACCCTTAAAAACGAGTTCACCAGCCTCTCACAGGAGGAGGAAACTAACACTGAGGTTAAAGAATTTCATCAGCATGAGTCCAACTCAACATCCCTCAATCAGTGGGGTCCAGAGGTGCTGCTGGGAGAACCATTTTTAGAGGTTCTCCCAGCCCACAGCTCTGACTGGAGCCCCTTCAGCCTCCTCCTGTGCCCTCCTCACTGCCAAATTGAATGCCTTGCTCTCAGATGAATGTGAACTGAAGACATATGTATGCAGTAAACGTTTGTCATTTTCCCTTCAGTCTCCCAGCATCTTCAACACCCTTCTCGTGACTGGGCGATTCCTCCATATAGACACCAGACATTCTCTTCTGGACTGCTTTGCAGCTGGGGCCTGACATATGACTTAGATTTTGACATCAGAGCCACCTGCTTCAGACTTTGCTTTGAAGCCTGTAGCATAAAGGAGTGGGTACCGTGCAGATTCCATTTTGGTGAGCATGTTGGCAGGCAGATCCAGTTTCCTAGGGCAACAGTGATGGGGGATTCTAGCAATAGCTCCCAGTGTCCCAGCACTAAGAGGGGGGCCAGTCCTCTGCCACCCCCCGACTAGATCCTCTACCAAATCTTAGCCATCTCTGACTACATAGCCCTTAAGCCCAGTTCGCTCGTCCTGACGGAGATTCTTTAGGTTACCCATTCTCCAATAAATTATTTTTCAGCCTAAACTTGTCCAAATTGGATTCTGTTGCCTGCAACTGAGAATCCTAAGTTATAAACATGTTCCATCTCATTCAATCCCCCATAACAGCCCTGTAGAATAGGGTTAACCTCAGTTTACAGAGGGGAAAACAGAATCTTAGCAGTCACTAAGCCTAATGAATGGGAAAGCTGAGATGTTTTCTTTTTCCGATTTCGTGGACTCCCATCTTCCAGTGAACTTGGAGTAATACTTTATTTGATTTTTCTGCCTCTGGCATTCTACCCCAAACACAACGGTTATTCTTTCTCATTGCTCTAGGCACTTAGGTCTTATCTCTCTGTGTGAACTTTCAGCTGCTGGGACCCTATCTAATACTTATGTTATATCACAGCTAGCTCTTTTCTCTTTCCCCTCTTCTTACTTATCATTTTTATACAACTAAAATCTAATTCAAATGAAAATATTATAGATAACATTTCAGTGTGTACCTCTTAAAATCGGCACGCAGCCTATGGAAATCCATGGAAGGAAGGAAGGAGGGGGATATTGTTGCCAGGTACCCCGTCTCCATCTTGCCTGCTGGTGGGGTGCAGAAGAGCATCATTTCTCCTTTTGCAGCTGTGGTCTGCTGCCAGCTACGCCCACCCCTTCATGCATACCTGCCGCAGCCTCTCTGAGTCACTCAAATCTTCTTGCCTCCAAAGAAACTCAAAACTTTCCCTCCGAACTCTTCATGAGTTCATCTCCTTTAACCTCCCCTTGCTGTCAGCTCTGGGGCAATCGGACCAAGGCTGTCCTAAGCCTCAGAGTAGTGTAGCAAACAAGATCTGCCCAGCCTGGCGTTCCAAGTGGAGTTGCAAGCAGTTGTTAATTCCCTAACATGAAGCCTGTGTTCCAGCTTCAGTGTCACCAGTCACAAGCCACTGGGACCCCCCCCCGCACTGCCCACCTTGCAGCAAATGAGGTCTTTGACCATGTGGCAGCCACATTAGGCTCCATCTCTCCTACCTCCTCCATTTTCCTTCTTCTCTCTTACCTCTAGGGAGATATGGGGGATTCACGCTCCTCGAACTTCAACAACCTCACAGCGTCCTTTGGGGCTTAGGATTCTCTCTCTGGAATCTTCCCTACTAGTGAGCACGAGGTGGGCACTACAAATGAGACCAGAGAAAGGAAGTATGGAATGGAGACAGAGAAAGTTGCAGTCTTTGAAATCACTGCCTGTCATGCAGATGTTGTTATGGACTGAAGGTTTGTGCCCCTCAAAACTTACGTCTTAAAGCCCTGACTCCCACTGTGATGGTATGTAGAGGTGGGGCTTTGAGGAGGTAATTAGGTTCAGATGAGGTCAAGACAGTGGGGTCCCCATGATGGAATTAATGACCTTGGAAGAAGAGGAAGAAAGACCAGATTCCCTCTCCCCCCTGCATATGAGGACACAGTGAGAAGCCAGGAAGAGGGTCCTCACCAAGACCCCAGTCTCCCAACGCCTTGATCTGGCACCCTCCCAACCTCCAGAACTGTGAGAAATGAGTGTCTGTTTAAGCTGCTCAGTCTATGGTATTTTGTTACAGCAGCTCAAGCAGACAGGCAGATGTTATCCCACTGTGGCCATTGTTGATTCATTCTTCGGAGAAACAATAAAAAGAGGAGTGGAAAATAAGCAACTAATATTTCCCAAGTTTCCTGTCTGTGCTATGCTCTATTCCAGATGATTTAAGTTTTTTCCTTAATTTTCACACCACCACCACAGTATCATCTCTTTTGTTTCAGTTTTAGAGATAAGAAAATTGAGCCAATAAGAGAACAAGTAATCAAAGTTATAAAGGCAATATCTACCAGAACTACGATTTGAACTCAGAACTTGTTTAAATTTAGTTTTTTATTGAAGTATAGTTGATTGACAATTTGTGTTAATTTCTTCTGTACAGCAAAGTGACTCATTTATAAACATACATACATTCTTTCTTATATTCTTTTCTATTATGGTTTACCCCAGGATATTGAAAATAATTCCCTGTGCTCTGCAGTAGGACTCTGTTGTTTATCTGTCCTATATGTAATAGTTTGCATCTACTACCCCCAACCTCCCACTCCATCCCTCCCCCACCCCCCTCCCCCTTCGTAAGCACAAGTCTGTTCTCTATGTCTGTAAGTATGTTTCTGCTTCATAGATATGTTCATTTGTGCCATATTTTAGGTTCCACATATAAGTGATATCATATGGTATTTGTCTTTCTCTTTCTGACTCACTTCACTTAGTATGATAATCTCTAGTTGCATCCGTGTTGCTGCAAATGGCATTATTTCATTCTTTTTTATGGCTGAGTAGTATTCCATTGTATATATGTACGACATCTTTTTTATTGAACTCAGAACTTTTGATCCCGAAATTTCTACCACAGTAAAATGAAACTTTTGAACAAGACCTCCCTTCTTAGAGCACACACAGCATAATAAAATGCAGATAAACAATGATTTTGTCTTTTAAAGTCCAGACTGTTTTTGCTTTGGGGTATTTTGAGAAATACAGATGCTGGTTACTTCTTCCTTAAACCGGGTTATTTCATGCAATAATAACTCATAAAAATTATTTCCTTAGCTGACAAGTCTAGAGATTCAGGCACAGACATATCTCGTTCATCTTAATATATCTCACAGCGACACCAGTAGCAAAATGCAACAGGAAAATAACATTAAGCCCCAGCTGGCCTTAAAGTGTGCAGGAAAATGAGGCTAGCGCAGTCTTCACACTGTCAGGCCTGTCTTCGAGGCAAATTTTTAATGGACTATAAGTGAAAAGCCTACAGCCAGAAAACACTGGCAATTCTAGAGTTCTGCCTCCAAAATTCCAAGTGTTATCCCTATTTGCATAAACCAGGGATTTTGAAAACTACCACAACAACCCAATATTATGCACTGAATCAATTTCAAAGGTCTGCGAAGCAAAGAGAGAAGGAAGCCTTCCTTTTTACTTTTTTTTTTAACTTATTTTTTTATACAGCAGGTTCTTATTAGTTATCCATTTTATACATATTAGTGTATATATGTCAATCCCAATCTCCCAATTCATCACATCCCTTTTTACTTTTTTCTTCTTTTTTTCTTTTCAATTGAGCGTGTGCTGCCCAGATCTCAGGGTTCGAGGAATATGGAAGATGGTTCTGCTAAACAACCAGAAACATTAATGCTGATTCACTCCAGATCTAGAAAAGCAGCAAAGGAGTCTTTTACTCCTGGTGATGAAATTCAAAGAGAGAGATTGAAAGAGACAGAGAAGTAGTCCCCCTTTGGAATCACAGTGTTGTTTTCTCCCCCCTTCATCTGTTACATCTTTCTTCACCACTATCCTTCCTTTCGTATGACAGATACTCAGCAAATTATAGTGAAAACTGCTTTGCCACCATACCTGGAAATTTGGGGGTATAAACTGTACCCACTAGGTGGGTTTGAGGTCAGCTGATGGGCAAATATTCTTCTTCTAAGTCCTCAGTACTACGCCAAGTGCTAGAGAAAATGGAGGTGTTTACAAACTGATCCTTATGCTGAAAGGGTGTATATACTTTTATGGAAAAAGATAATCACAAATGAAACAAGAGTGAGCCAATTAAAATATTAAATTATTACACTTTCTGGCATATACTACAAGTGCTGTAAGGTTTCACAAGGAAGAGGAATTGATTTGAAGGTTGTGGGTAGACAGAATCAGGTTTGCGAAACTCCTTAGCATCAACCTACCCCTTCCACAAGGCCAGCTCCGAGCCTGGAGGCTTCCCTGCCAGGCCAGTTGGCACCTTACTTTGGGATTAACCATAAAGACTTCAGACATTCATCCCTTACTAGCTTCCAGTTCAAATAAACAGACATGTATTAATAAACGACCACGTGCAAAGTGCTTCCTGTCTTTTGAAGACACAGTGATCCCTAAGAAACCAGCATTCTTCGACACTCACCTTCAGTCTTTGGATGTGGGCTGCTGCAGAAAAGAGACGTGTGGCCTCGGGCAAAGCAACTCTCTTTAGCCAAGGTAAATATTGCAAAGCGCTGACAGCTAAGGGCATCCGCACATAGCACTCCTAGCAGGTAGAGGAATAAGCCCTTCAGGTGCTGATGGGGAAGCTAGACGGGGCATCACTGCATACACTAGTCTTTCCTTTATACCATTTAAATCCACTACTTTAAGTTCTGGAAACATCTCCTCTAGAATCCCAGGGTGGGTTGTGAGGGGTGAGGAGATTCTTTTGAGGGAAACTTAAAAGAGGAAGGTTAGCCCTGGGCGCTACCGCTGGTTTCAGGGTCAAAACCAACAGTCATTATTTCCTTCCTCTTCAACCATTGTAGATTCTTCTACCTCCTGGCCAGCACTTCCGGGGTCTTGGTGGCTTACTTCGTGGCATCACCCATGTCCTCATCCCTGAGGAACCTCAGTCCTGGTCATCCTGCCTTTATCAGACTGTGGCTGCTGCACTCTTTTATCATCAAACAAGGGAATTTTGAGAGGCGCCCAGGTGACTTCCTGGTGTCTCCATTGTATAACAGAAACCATACCTGGTCCCGATGATCAGGGTTTATTACCCCTGTTGGACTGCGACGTGAGCTCACAAATACAGCCATCTCCCCTTGAATCAAGCTGAGGTTTTTGCCTCATCCATCAGCTGGTGGTTAGGATCCTCCATATGGTCATAGGTGTGAGCTGAGGGAGAGGTTCTGTTGCAACGGTGATCCTATCTGGGCTACTTGCTCGCAAATCTTGCTTGTCCAGAAATCTTGACTATTTTTATTGCTCAAAAAAAATCTCTATTTTCTATAGCACTGGCCCTGCTCATGCTTCCATCCTATGCGTGCTGCTTCCCTCTTGCAATGGATGGTTGTTGGACCTGCCCAACTTTGTGACTAGGTGGACCCAAAAGAACTCTGCCCATGATGGACACTTTTGACTCCATGATCATTGGTGTCTCCTGATCAGTCATTCCATCACTTCCATGGCTCAGTAGCACGCCAGCGGCTGTTTTTAAAAAGGTATAAAGTTATTTGTTAGAATTGGTATGGTCTTGCTCTAGAATCCTATGGTCTGTGTTGTGATTCTTCTTTGGTACTTAGTATAACTTCTATGAGGAGTCTTTTCCCACCACTGGGGATACTTCTAATCTTATAGGTCTACTAGGTCATAAGGTCAAATAATGCATAGCAGCGTTGACCTGCTTCAGGGCTCTTTCCTGCCCCAGCCCCCAATCAGAATTAGTGAACTTCCACGTCACTAGGTATATCAGCTGCAGCAATATTCCAAGGTGTGGAATGTGCAGCTTCTAGAACAGCAAGAGGCCCACCAGGTGTTGAGCATCCTTCTTTGTGCCAGGAGGCACAAGATGAAATAATTTGCCCTGTTCTGATATACCCCCAAATAACTGGACACCTAAAATTGTTGCTAATATGGGGCCCCCAAAATTTTCAGGGTTTTTTCTATCCTCTGAAGTGTATGGGGTTCCAGTGAACTAGCCATTATTTTTTTCATCTGATCCAATTAGCATGATTCCATCCATATAGTGGACCAGTGGATGTTCTATGGAATGTCCAGCCAGTCCAGATCTCTGAAAGTTAACATAGCCTTAGAGCCAGACTATAAATTTATATAGTTGTCCAAGTAAATTTATAGTATTCCAGATATGTTTCTCTGATAGAGATACAAGAGAATGGATTGTCCAGATCAAGGACCACATTTCATGAATCTGAGGCTATGCTTACCTGATCTAAAAAAATACTCTCAGGAATCAGCTGCAATTAGCACCAGTCCTTGCCTGAGCTTGTGGTACCTACAAGCATCCCACAGGAGCCATCTGGTTTTCTCAGGCTCATACTGGTGAATGTAATGGAGATAGGATGGGAAAGAATTTCAAGGATGACACTGATTTCTTTTGTTCCCCAAGGATATAGTATTCTTTTTCACTTACTACCCTGCTAGAGGAGCAGGGTGCAATTTCAGAGGCTTCCTTCCACCCAGTCTTCCCCATTACAATAGCTCTCACTGCCCAGGCCAAGGAACCAATGTCAAGATTGTGCCTACTACCAAATATGTCTTCTTCAATTATATACCAGGGACGGGAAGAATGACTCCTGGCTGAGTCCATGCAGCTAGTGGACATTGTGCTTAGCAAGAGCTACCCAACTTCATTATCCTTAGAGTTACGTTTCCCATATTTCCCAAACATGGCACTTTGGAGAACATTCTCTCCCACAAGAATACTTTTCCAGTTCACCTCCAGTCTATGTGTTCACAAGTGCACAGCTGTCTCATGCCAGGCACTGTCTGGTGGGTGGAGGTCCCCATTGCCAACTGAGGGGCAAGTGACCCAGCTCCAAAATCTCATCCTAGCATCTGGTTTCTCAAACCACTCCTGGCACCAACTGTCATGGGCTGAGTTCCCAGGAAGCAGACGCTGAGACAGAGGGTAGCATGTAGGAAATCTATTCCAGATTGCTCCTGCGCGTGATACCTGTGGAAGAAAAAGGGTTCAGAAGCAGGACTGTGCAGAGGGAGAAGCTGGGTTAGAAGGCAGTTTTGACAAAGCATCAGTTGACTCATCAGGCAGCTCAGAATCGGGGATGACCTGGAGGGCTGTGCAGAGTTGGGGCAAAGGGCCAGACGTTGTATCCACATCAACTAGGCATTAGATACAGGTTGACTCAGGAAGCGGGTCTTCAATTTGAGTAAGGTGACCCTTTTTAAATAATTCTGAAGAGGATGGACAGCTGAGGGCTCTGTGGACAATGCTCCCTGCAGCTGGAGGAAGAGGGTCCTTCAGTGTTACCAAGGGACCTAGGCAACACATTGCAGCATGTACTCCAGCCACTCTCTTCATTGTGTAAGGAGATGGGATAACAAATGAGGGCTAAGAAGCTTCAGAGGACCAACTTTGAACATCTGGCCCTGGAAGGCCATGTGCCTTCCAAACAGAAAAGGACTGTCTTGTCCAGAAAAATCGTGTGGATTAAATTGAAGAAAGGTTGCTGAGTCAGCAAGGTAAAGGCACTGCATGAAGATTCAGGAGACAAAGATTTTGACCTTTCCTTCCTCAGCTACTAAGTGACCAGGAAAGTCACTCCACTTCTCTGTCCCTCACTTTCCTCATCAGAAAATGAAAAAGGTACCTAGAGGGTAATACAGGAGAAAACCTAAAGGACCTTGGGTATGGTGATGACTTTTCAGATACAACACCAAAAGCATGATCCAACAATGAGATACAACCGCACACTTATTAGGAGGGTGTGAATTCAAACCACTGATGACACCAAATTTTGGTTTGGAGGATGTGGAGTAACAGGAACTCTCATTCATTGCTGGGGGGAATGCAAAATGGTACAATCACTTTGAAAGACAATTTGGTGGCTTTTTACAAAACTAAACATATTCCTACTATACAGTCCAATAATCACGCTCCTTGGTAATTAAACAAGGTGAAACCAAATAAGAACAGGAATTACTTAGGAGGAAATAGCCTGGAGCTTTGAGAGTGACAGGATGGAGCAGGGGTAATGTGCAAGGGCCCAAATTTAGGTTGAGGGGCACACGGTAGCTGCATCATATAAGCTTCCAAGGCGTATTAAGGACTTTTTTTTTTTTTTTTTTTTTTTTTTTTCGGTACGCGGGCCTCTCCCTGCCGCAGCCTCTCCCGTTGCAGAGCACAGGCTCCGGATGCGCAGGCTCAGCGGCCATGGCTCACGGGCCCAGCCGCTCCGCGGCATGTGGGATCTTCCCGGACCGGGGCACGAACCCGTGTCCCCTGCATCGGCAGGCGGACTCTCAACCACTGCGCCACCAGGGAAGCCCCCATATTAGGACTTTAACTCAAGAGCAACGGAAAGATGTGGAAGGGTTTCAAGCAGAGTAAGAGGTGATTGAAGCTGCAGGAGAAATCTAAGCTATTTTAGGATATTTGCAATTGCAGTAGTAATTCAGCAATGGAATAGATTCTCAACAGAGCTTGGGGGAACATTCTCCCAGAATAAATTGAGTTGATAGTTAAGGAAAATAAATAACTTCACGTGGGAAAGTTGCAGAAGAGAGTGCCAGGGGGCTGCAAATTAGGTCAGAATTGGGGTGGGAAGGGTGGACAAAGCAAAGATTCCAGGCTCTTGTCCCTGAGATTGGAGTCTTCAAAGTGGGAAAGGAAGGGTAGACACTTTGCTCCTTTTGTCACAAGCTGAAAATCTATTCTGAAGGGATATAGGAGCATTTTCCTGTTGTATCTTGGGATCGCTAAGATGCAGGATAATAGGACAATATTTCAAAAAGTGTAGGAACGATTATGGCAGCCAGAAGAACTGCTCCCCCAAACATCTGCAATGACTTTTTCAGAGACTCCTCCATCCACATCAATGGATGAGCACAGCCTGTCCCCAAGGTGGGCAACTTGTAAGAAAGAGAAATAGGAAAGGAGATGGTCTTAATTTTCAACAGATTCTCAGAGAACTTTTTACTTTTTCTACCCAGTCTCCCTAATCTCAAACTAAACTCTGTGACTCCTTTTATGTTATTTCACAATTTCTGCTACTTAAGGACGAATAGCTTCAGTGCTGGAGTAGGGAAGCTTGTAAAATCCATGGTAACTAACAGGTCCATGGTTATCATTTCGAAGTACTTTCTAATTCCATTTGTGCTTAGTAATGACATGAACGTCTATTGACGACATATTAAGTGCCGTGCTACTATAAATTTTATGTTTTATACATGTACTTTTTAGAAAAGTTTTAGTGCAAATGTTTATTGAATGAGTGATTGAACAATAATTGGTGGTCACCATTAGGTAACCAGAAACTGACAAACTATATGAATGGATCAGCTAGGGGATCAGTGAAAGAGGGTCCTACTAAGTTAAAAAACAAAACAAAACCCTGATTATGCACGTTTATCAGAGAATAAATCTGGCTGGGAAAAAAAAGGGCAATAATCCTCTAATTAACTGTATTGAGAGATCTCTAAATTGGCTTGAACCCCTGAAAACTCAAGTATATTCTGTCTTGAGCCAGTTACTAATTTATTTGATGGGATTGTCAATGAAAAGTTAAACAGACTAGCAGAGACTCCTGCATAAGCTCAGATCTCATGTAAAAGAGATTGGTTTGAATGCATTTAATGGGAACTACCAGTTAAGAATCCTTTAACTGAATATGACCAGAGCTAGAAATGCTGAATAAACTATGGAAATCATGACCACAATGCATAGGAAAGGACATGTATATGTATATGAATATTGTTGGAAATTGAAAATTCCATATCTAGTAGTATTTCAACCTAAGTCTTCCACTCTAATGTGTTATTTGGTATTTAAGATTCTTCATCACTGCCCCTTCTTAACTCCTTTTTTTTCCATTCATTGAACCCAAGGCTAGAAATTAAAGGAGAAAAAGCTGAGAAGCTGTAGAATGGTAATGAGATCAAAACATATAGTAATCACCAGCATTTGGGATGTTTATTGTTCTATCAGCCTGGGTCCCTGAGCAAAGACCCTCTGTTGAGGGTCATTTCCTTGCTTTAAAAAAATTAATCCATTTTATCATACATATATAGACCTAGGCAGTATATTGTTTTGGCTTTTGAACTTTATAAAAAGTATACCAAAAAAAAAAAAAAAAGGGCTTCCCTGGTGGCGCAGTGGTTAAGAATCCACCTGCCAATGCAGGGGACACGGGTTCGAGCCCTGGTCCGGGAAGATCCCACATGCCGCAGAGCAACTAGGCCCATGCACCACAACTACTGAGCCTGTGCTCTAGAGCCCACGAGCCATAACTACTGAGCCCGTGTGCCACAACTACTGGATCCCGTGAGCCTAGTGCCCGTGCTCCACAACAAGAGAAGCCACCGCAACAACAAAGAGTAACCCCCGCTCGCAGCAACTAGAGAAAGCCCGTGCACAGCAACGAAGACCCAACGCAGCCAAAAATAAATAAATTATAAAGAAAAAAAAAGTATATCATACTGTATATATTCTCCTGGAACTTGCTTTTTTTCAATCTAGTTCATGTATGTTCTTATTTATAGCAGTGATTGTTTAATTACTGTATAATATTGTACTGTATAAACATCTTAATATTTTACCCATTCAACTGTCATTGACATTTGAGTTGAGTTCAGGTTTTTTGCTACTGTGAATTATGCTACTATAGTCATTCTTGCACAGGTCTACTAGCATACATTTGCAAGAATGATGAGAGAAATAAAAATGAAAACAATAAGATATCATTAGGTATAAAATTATTTGAAATGTCAAAAATGAAAAGTTCTATCAAGATCAAAGTTTGGAGTGATGAGCAGCAATTAGGGTCTTGTTTACATTGCTGATAGGAGTATAAGTACCAACACCATTTAAGATAACTCTGCATTACTGTTAAAGCTGAACATTGGCATACCCTGTAGCACATCTCAATAAATGTTGAATGAACACCTGAATGGGTAAGTAATCACTCAGAGAGTTAGTTAAGATACTTTCAACCTCTTTTTCAAGTTTGTCCCTTTTCAGTCTCCTAGTGACTTTTCCATAATCATGGATTTCGATGCCTGGCCCATTTTCCTCTCTGCCTCATGTCCTGCACCATTTAGGTTACTTCAATTCCCAAACGGATGACCCATCCAACACGCTAGCCTTCCCTTTACATGACATCAGTTATGAGGAATAAACAAGCTAGTAAGTCCAAAGTACTTAGAACAGTGCCGAGCACAGAGTGTTACATAAATGTTCATTATTGTTGTATTTCCTTCAGCGCTCTTCTAGAAAAATATGACAATGGTATAAAATTCAGGTGTTCTTGGTTCCTTGGCCAAATATATTTGTATACCCATTTCCATTGCATTTTTATTTGGGGCCAAGATATTTGTTTTCCTAGCATACTTTTCCAGATTTTCCAGTGGAAGTCCCCCAGAGTGAAAGATCAAATGTCCATGAGTTCTGGATCTGCCCAAATCAACCATTATTCAAATAAGTCACACCTCCTTTTCCATTCCTTTGGAGGGGTAGTTCATTACAACACCTAATGAAATCTGGACTTCACCCCTTGGAGCCATCCATGCCTGTACCTCCTTTAGTGAACTTCATCTCCCCTTAGAGTTCTGACTTTATAAATTGTCCAGGTGTATCAGTCATTTCTACATTCTCCCCTTCAATCACACTGCCACCTTGAAACTTACTGAGCAATGCTCAGAACAGCTTACTCTGATCTTATTCTTTTCTTCCTCCAACCATCCAAAATTTCTCTACCAGCTTGTATAGCTGTCCCAGTCATCAAAGGCAAGTTCCTCTATTGAATTTACTATTGATTCCTTTTGTATAGCTTTAAGAGAACTGCTGGAAACTTTCCTCCTTTGTCAGGATCAAACATGTGTTAGGCATTGCTATTTTGGGATTGAAAGCATGTGTAATTGGCCCTGGAGTTTACCAACCAGATTCTCTCCAAGCCAGGAAGGACTTGGAGAGCATAGCGAAGATTTAGATGAAGTGGCTTCCATACTGATTATGTGAGCCATCAAGCACAGTCTTTCATTTTTATCTCCACCAGGCAGAGGTCATCAAAACAAGTCAACTTCCAGGGTCTGTGAGAGGACTGTGTCCCAAGCAGCCTGGATATACTGTTTACAGGCTTCTGGGAAAAGGTTTGGAATGGAATATGGGGGGGATGTGTCTCATAACATTGCCAGGAGACAGCTTGCTCAATCAGGAACTATAGCATAAACTGGTAAAAAGAGAACAGAAAGAAAGGTGGATGAGTAAGAAGAGTGGAAAACAAGAATCAGATAACAAGGGTTGGAAAGGGGTCACACACTAGACCATGCATGCCTTAGAATTATTAAATTTCAGAACTGAAAGTGACCTTAGGACTTGTCTACTTTAACCAGCTCACTTTACAGTTAGGAAAATTTAGCTCATAGGGGTGAATGGATTTGTCCAAGGTCTTAGAGCTGTCAGCTGGATGGAAAATCCAGTTGTGGGAAATCAAATTCTTTGTTTACGTCAAGAAGTTTACCATAAGATGCAAAAATGCTTCCTATATTGAAAGTTAAAATAATATGATAATGTACTACGATAAGATCATAATAAAATAAAATTAAATTAACCAAGAGTTAATGTCGTTCCCCTGATCGAGATCCCATGATTATTATACGTAGGCTTTAATCATTAGTGGCAGTTTTCTCTGGTACAAGGAATTAAAGGTACTTTTTTCCTTCTACTCTTCTGCATTTTCATTATAATCACATATTCCTTTCACAGTCATTAAAAAAATGTTTTACCCATTTGATTTAGAGTTATTGGTCCCCATTGGGTTGTTCAGAAGGGAACGGTAAATTAGATAGTCTAACATCTCATTTTACGATATGGGAAAATTGGCAAATTTCTTTTGGTTGCTATTTTTAGGAAGGTACCATTTTAACCTTTTGTTTCACAAAGATTCTCAGATACCTGTTCTGCTCTCCAGTTTCCAAAGCACTAATACACAGTAATCTAGGAGATAGAACAAATTCCCATGGGAAAAAATTCCTCTATATGTCAGTCATGTCAAAAACACAGACCTGGAGGGGAGGGATAAATTGGGAATTTGGGATTAACAGATACACACTGCTGTATGTAAAATAGATAAACAAGGATAGTACGGGGAACTATATTCAATATCTTGTAATAACCTATAATGGAAGAGAATCTGAAAA